GGATTAATTTAGCTGTCATGAGTCAGTGTCAATCAAAAGATTATGTGAAGATGATGTGTTTCAGCATGCGTTATTGAACTGTGGTATATTCTTACCAGGGGGAAGTCGTCAGGGTCAATCCAGACAATGCTGAGGTCAGGGTTGTCTGTGTTATCCTCGGCAACTTGCTTCAGGATCTCCAGGAACTCATAACCGTCTAAGGAGTGGAGAGCACAACAGTGAAACTAAAACTAAAGGGTGAATCAGTAGGGTGGCAAAATGGTGGTAATGGGCATTTGCAGATAATTTTAATACACATCCTTCACTCGTCTGCAGAAATACCAAATAGCTGCATCCCCTTAACATCCGGTCATCACCATGCAAAAATGGATTTGCTATTGGTGACTGGTTAAGATTTGAACATAATCTTCTGGTGTTTATGTCAGTAATGTTTACAATTCATTCAGGGTTCCTTTACCTGGGTCAGACTCCTCTGCAAAAACAATGATATGTTCACCATCAACATCGTCTTCCTGTGGAAACAATAAAGACAAACTCAACCCGCTGGGGAGAAAGTTCAGAGAGTTGAAATCTCATCAAAGCCCTTTCATGGAATAGTTGGACAAAAACAGATCTTTGGGCTAGTTTGTTCTTACCCAGATCTCATACATGTTGTGTGGCTGCAGCTTCCTCAGGGTTGGCCTTAAAAATCACAGAGGAACAAGTTTTTACACGTTTAGTTTTTCATTGTAGACCGTTGAGCTCTTACCTCATGATATCATTGTTGCATAGCACTGATAGGACTTACCTGTCATTATCTTCGATGAATTTCACCAGCTCCTCCTCAGTGTAAGGTTTTCCTGGGATGACCACTGGATCATCAATGAAGGGTTCATAGAAGTCCACCTCATTGAGCTTCAGCTCCAGAGCCTTGGCAACCTGTAACACACGACCAAAGAATTAGAACCACTAATGCTGAACCACAAAGGACCTAAAGGAACCATGTTAATGGTTTACAACAAAAATGTTGAATTCACAAAAAATGTCCCCAATTTAGTTTTTATAAATAAACGCAAATTATTGGTCATGTTTGAGGACAAAAAATATCTTTTGAATTTTGTACACAGTGCAGATACTGGTTGTGTTTTACGTGGGTTAATTGAGAGCGATAAAACCTTTAACAGACACTTCAGTTCATGTTTTTCAGCGCACCAACAAACAATGAATTGAATGTTTAGTGGCTAATCTGCAGACCAATGTTTATTTGGACAAACAGGTCTGCTAGTGTACTTCTTACTTTTCAATATACAGACAGAGAGAGACCCCGAAGAGGGAAAATATTTATTTCATTGAGGACTTCTGGGAAGCTGTCTGACAGAAGACAGATGGACATTTTCCCAAGCTGAGAGCTTAGTGTTTCAGAGGGCAACATTGCTTACCTCTCAGACATGATACATGATAGTTGTCTACCCACCAATCTATTCCTGATCAAACTCCTCTGATTCAGCAGACAGTTAAGATGCAGAAAATATATTGTTCAGTATAGGTTTTAAATACATGGAATTAAATATGTTCTAATCCTCAAAGAGTTGCCGATTGCTTCTTCGTGGAGTGCCTCAAGGCTCGATTTTTTGCCGATTGCTTTAAAAAAATTGTGTGTATGTTTTCATTAATTATGTTAAAGCTGCACTAATTAACATTTTTATATCAGTAATGGACCAAGTTACTATACATATAATATACATTATAAAGGTTTAAAGTTAGTTTAATTTGTATTTATAGTTTATATTCTACCCAGTCTTATTATGGGGTTTTAAGTGTGTCTGATCAAACATAACATAATAATCTTTATTACTCACCTTGGGATTAAATGTGGCAAAGAAGCTGATGTGAGGATGGAACTCTTCAGCAGCATCGGCAAAAGCCTCAAAATCTGAAATTGTACAGGCATCCATCAAGTTGTTTCAGTAGATCAGCCCCTGTATGAAATATCTAAGAATGTAGACTTGTTGCACTCATCATTAATGTGGCTCCTAGTGTTGTCACTTGCAAATCCGTTTAAAAATCAAATCAGTCTGCAGCTCAAAGTTAAATCAAGCAATCTGGCCCTGGTCTCTGTTGCACTTGCTTCAATATGCAATCATGAGCATTTATGTTGAAAAGCAACTGTAAAATTGGAACAGGTTATCATGTAATCACAGTACAGGTTCTTACGTTCTGACTTGTGACTCTTAAAGTAGCCCACCAGTTTGATGTCCTCTTTGATGTGTTCAAAGCCTTTCAGTTCCCTATTATTGTCAAGAATTTCCACTGGGTCCTCAAGAAGCTATGAAGGAAAAGGAGGGTCATGGAGGATAAAAAAAGGGGGGGGGGGTGCAATGGAGTTGAAGGTGACAGAGAAGAAGAAGAACACACAGAGTCAGATTCTGTGTGTCATCTTCAAAGAAAGCAAACTGGCATTCATGTTTTCTTTTCTAAAATAAAGCAGGCTATTAACTGGGAGATTATATCCTCACGAACATCAAAGATGAACTCCACAATAGTGTCTGCTGCAAGCTCGCCATCATATTCTATGACTTCATCGTCTGTGAAAATGAAGATGCTGTCGGACTCATGAAGGCCTGGGGGAAAAGAGAAGAAGCACAGAGCAGAGCCAAGGTCACACATGTTGACAAGTTGGCCTCGTCTGTCCCACATTCCTTTACACTAGTGGGGTGCCAGCTCAGGGCATGGCTGAAAACTTGTTTCATAGTTTCGTGAAAGTACAGCAGGCCACATCCCACTGAAAACTACTTAGACAGGTTAGTTCAAATTCTCAGCCATTATAAAATATTTTTGCATTGTGTTAAATTATAGGTGTCTGCAGTTATGTTGCTGAGGGTTTACCTAATTTCTTAGCAACGGCTTTGTCGTGCTTTGCATCGATGAGGCCGACTCCGATATCTTCCTCATCAAACTCATCCAGGACCTGGGCTACAAGCTGTAAAACAAAGACACTGTCATATACCCGAGGACATGGTATGCCAGTTTAGTATGAGCCTATAAAACATGGGAATACAAGCCTGCATGGGTGTGCAGTATCTGATGCACATTTATACCGTTTTGACAAAGTTGTCTCACTCAGTAGTTTCATTACCATAAAAGCCTGCTTTTCAGAGCGCTGCTCATGCACTTTCTAAATCTGTATGAAACTTGAACCTCATGACTGACAGTTGGTTCCACCAATGGCAGTGCCACGTTCACTGCATTGAGGAAGTGGTTCGAGGGTTGTGTCAGTGTGTTAGGATGGTAATAAGCACACACACACACACACACACACACACACACACACACACACACACACACACACACACACACACACACACACACACACACACACACACACACACACACACACACACACACACACACACACACACACACACACACACACACACACACACACACACACACACACACACACACACACACACAAATACACTCACACACAAACACACACACAAATACACTCACACACACACACACACACACACACACACACAAATACACTCACACACAAACACACACAAGTGTGCACACTGGTGTCAGAGATCTTGAGCAGCTGCTTTTACTGGCATAAATAGTTTGACTAATTGGACTGTCCTGCAGGTTGTTGTGCAGATCATTATTGGCTTTTCTTTTAATTGTTTGTAGATGGGTGGGGCACAGTGAAGCAGTTTAGTGAGTGAGGTTGTTGCTTAGCAGTAATTGTAGAATATTTGTGAATATGTCCTTAATGCAAAAGTATACATACACCTAACATTATATACATTAAAAAAAAAAAAAAAGCAAATTGAGTCTTTAAGTACAGTATTTGGTTTTACTGTGACTTTAGTTTTTTTTTTGCATTGAACTATATTTTGTTGCAGACCCCACCCTCTTGGCATTTAAGTAGGCTATTAAAAACTTCCAAAGGGCAAGTGATTGAGGTGAGTATAAGAGTTCATACTATCCAAGCAACTGAAGGACACATTTGTAGATAAATTGTAATAAAAAGATGTGAAAAAAGACCTAGTATTTATGCTGGTCATTTTCTAATTCTTTTCCATTTTTCTTTGTAAACATTTTAATAAAACTATTACAAGCCTTTCAAGTGAGAGGTACACTGCAGATAGACATGTGTATTTGCATAGAAACATTAGAGGTTGTTTATCTGGATTTGAATATGCAAAATAAACAAATTAAATTGTCCAGTGACATCATTTTTTCTGCAGTTTGTTTTTACGATTAAATAGAAAAATGATTCCATAGCTTCATATCTACTTTGTGCTCCAAGTATGTACATTCAGAGTTGTTGTTAGATCTTGGTGTATCTGCTGTAATGCGGCTGGTATCATTTCTTTGGAGCAGCTGAACCTCCTAACCACATGTAAAGTTAAGCCAACTTGCTGAGTATCTCAGATGGGATTTTATAGCTAGATCAGCATGTTTTCCAACTGCACAACATGCAAAATGCTCTGCAGCTTAAATCATTTTTTTCTTAAATGCTGCCATTTTGTACCTGTTCACTGAGGCACTGAGATTATATGAATATGATTATATATATATATATATATATATATATATATATATATATATATATATATATGTACAGTATATGTATATATGGCAAAAAATATGAACACAGCATGATGAAATTCACTTTTCCTGCTCCCTACTGTGGATCACAAATTATTTCTCCTTATACATTGTCACACCATTTTGATATCCTTATATACATACAATTTGTATAATCTGTTTTCACGGACAGTGAGCAATTTACACAGCACATTTAGGAAATGATTACGCATTAACACACGCAGTAGACTCCAGTCACACTGTTAGGCTACCTCAACAATCAAACTTTTCTTTGGCCAAGGGAGAAAACACTTAATTATGACCTCCTCCCTCCCACAATGTCATATTTCATTGAACTTTTCACTAACAGAGTGCCTCGAGCCCTTTGCTGCAGCCGCCTGTTACTAATAATAACTCCTTATTAAAGGTAAATCATAATACATTCATAAGGAGAAACACAAGCCTTCGGGGAGCTCAGCCCTCCACGAAAGCAGCTCGGGATAAATATAGCGCCAGAAACCCCACCAGCCCAGGGACTATTTTGGCGTGATGGCGGTGATGCTCTGCGCTCTGGGATCCGCTGACAAGTACAGTACTTCAAGTGTCAATCCCAGAGCTGAAGGTGCACTACTGGAGCCAGAACCTCCAGTGCTGGCCTCGAGCCCTGAGACCGATCCCAAAGGCTCCCATACAGAGACACCAGAGGCTGTTGATCGGATGTGGTATGCCAAGGGGAGCAGCGTATTCATGGTTTCCTTTCTATAATTGTGCCTGTTTTGCAAGCCGGTTCTAAAAGGAGCCCCCAGCAAAGCTTGCAGCTCTCCTAAAACATATCAATACACAAAATGTCTCAGGAAGCAGCCTTCATTATACACTGTGCAGTGGCCATGCCAAATGCCTTAAAATATGGTTGCCACATGATCCAGTGTATCTATTCTAAAAATCTGTCATTACCCTTCAGACTTTTTTAATGGAACTGCAAATTTCACAGCAGTTATTAGTCCAGTATTTCTTCAAAAAATAAAAATTCTGTGTAAAATACAGTTTGAGAACCGGGTAGGTCTCTTTCTGGTCCAATCTAAAATGTGTGGAGAAGAAGGACAAGAAACGCAAATACGGATTTTCTTGAAAGATGCAGTGTATGAGTATGTGTCATTTGATATTCTGTGTGTTTTTTTTAAAAGTAACATGAGGACCGACCCAGGTCAGTTAGGGTTTGATGCGTTGGTGACCTGATACTGAAAGCTTGCTGAATGATGATGTAATGTCTCTCTGTGAGGAATGTCCTGACACTGCTGAGTATCCAGGCTGACAGGAGGCCTGAGAGGTATACTGGTAGAGGTGCGTTAGGTACACCAACTCCCACACACACACACACACTCACACACAGACACACACAAGCTCAGCCTTTGCCAGAATACATGATATCCACAGCTCAGCTCTTTGCTTTGGGTGGACGACACTGACGACACACAGCAGGCTTGTGACACAATTTTGAGACTTCAAAAAGTTTCTGAATCCAGCAAAGCTATTTTCCACCTAGCAGCCTCAATTTCCCCTGTGCTCAATTTCACATTTAACCCATTTGAAATCTTGCAAAAAAAGTCTTTCCTGGCCAAAATGCTCTTTATTTTCTTTGTAACCACACATGTACTATAAAAATCTATTTTTACATTTTCAATTTGAAGCTTAATTCCTCTACCAGCAGTATTCTGTCACACACATCTGCATGATTCAAATTCTGTGCAACCAAATGAAATTAAACTAGATCAAAAATACAAACTCTGCTACATCCTCAAACTAAACTCTACCATGAGTTCAAGACTGTGTAACGTTTCTGTGTGCTCTGCACTATGAATGCAGCACTAATTATACAGCTTTCCCATCAATAAGCTATCGTCCTTATTCTACCCACAGTCCCCAACTCAACCCACCTCAAGGGTCAACTCCTCAATCTCAAACTGTCTCTGGGCGACACGGCTGGATCCGGGACAGTCATGGTAGTACACCACCATGACATCGTACTTCTTCATCACAGACTTATAGTTCTTGGCGTTGAGGTCGTGCACGCGGTCCTTGCCATCGTACTCTGGGAATTCCAAGCTGTATTTGCCCAGCGATAGCTCCCCAAAGGACAGCAAGACTGCCACAAGCACCCAGGTCCACTTCATGGCTCCTCTCGAGGATAAATGTAGATGTATTTACAGTTTCACAAAGTAAAGAAAAAAAACAAAACTGAATAGTTTGCTAAAAGTTTAGAGAACCCCTTCCAATCCGCATCACCCAGAAGAGAGCAAGACCAACTCTTGCATCCACCTTATTAAAAACCTCACATGGGGCAGTGGGGCACAGGGTGCAAGAGGGGTTGGGCTAAGTTTGACATAGGTGCAAGTGTATGTCTACGTGGGGTGTAATCAGGAAAGATGAGGTGGGGGCCACTTGGGTTGCTGGGGTGACAGCTTTCTGTGTATGTGTGTGTGTGTTTCAGACCTGTACAAGCGGGGTGGAGTGAGGAGATGAGGACCAACCTGCTCCATATCCACTGAGAACAGGAGAAGACAGGGATGGAGATGGAGGGAAATAGTTCAAAAGCAAGGAATAAAGAGATAAAGAAGGATGGAATGAGTGTATGTGTGTGTGTGTGTCTGTGTGTGTTAAGCTGCTTTGCACCAACTGAAGAAACAAACATACAGTTTGATGGATTTAGAGGTTGCGGCGGATATGAGATATCTTTTCCCATATTAAGTGTAGATGGAGGCTTGCATCCCAGCTAAAAATAATGGATGTGGGACAGAGAAGTACATATCAGGCAGGGGTGTCGGTGTCTAATTTGCTGCTGCTGGCAGCGGCGCAGCGCTAGAATGTGCTGCTGGGTCACTCAGGGACATGGAGAGAGGAGAGGGTGGTGCACCTGCTGAGGATTCAGTGCATAGGTGTCACTTAGCCCTGACTCAAGAAGAAAGTGAAACGTAGAGTTCTACAGGAGGGGGGCATGTGGCAATTTTTTTGGGGGGGATTTTTTTGAGTCCGGTCCATCTGTACATACAGTATACACGAGTGTCCTGTGCAATGTGAGCAGCATGTTTGCTTGAGATGATGTGATATTACTTTACAGATTGAAAGGGAGGATGTAATCTTTAAATAGAGACTACATTGTATGGTAATACTCCCAAAACACACACACACACACACGTACACTCTCCTGTATACAGGACATGCAGGCTGGAGTGTTAAAGCAGAAAGATTCTGTTTGAAGGGAGTCGGTGAGGGATGCACTGACTGCATGTGTGTGATAGTCATGGTAGAGGGGGTTGGTTATGTGTGGTGTCAGTGACTATGGAATATAAAACTGTACTGTGGCTCACTGTGTTACTGTAAACATGTAATAGAATGACATGAGATAGAGGCTAAAATGAACGGGGGAATAATTTACACCTCATAACATCATCCTTAACAGCTTCCATCACCATTCTCTGGTCCTAAATCAGACACAATGGGTGAATTTATCAATAAATGAGAAAATATTTCTGCCAGTTTAGCATTATGGGACTTTAACAAAAAAATGTGTTGTATTCAGACACCACAGTTTACTATTTTATGCTTTTGAATGCGCTCCAGCATGTAATATTTGATTTTATAGCAAATTGCTATTGCTCCACAAGCTGAAATGTTCAATCATGTCCCACTTTTGGCCACATCCCAATCAGTGATGTCACAGCAGGTGTTATAACTTTGATGACTGAAAACACCGGCTGTGAATCACTGATTGAGGTGATTTTAAGTGCAATGCAATTTCTTTCTTTTTTGCCTTTTGTCCTTCACTTCCATTTGATGTGCAGAGTACAGAGGCTCCAATAATAAATTACTGGTGTTATATTTTATAAACCCTGTACCTATATGGCAACCCACAGCATCTTGGCCCTCTTTAACCCAAATATTTCCTCAAAAGTCGAAATGGTTCTATTTTCATTAGAGGTCATGTTTGTGGTGCTATAAAAATAACATCAATGTGTTTGCCATCATGAATCTACACACATCTGTGCAAGGCCTACAGGTGACTGGAGAGTCTCTATGTCAGGTATCCTCAATTGACGGACCACGGTCCGGATCCAGGACCCAGGACCTAAAACCGGAAGACAAATCGGAATTAAACATATTAAGCGGTGCAGGAAACACACCGACCAATGCTTTGTAAATCACCTCAGGTGATGCAGCTCAGCCAATCAAATATGAGTATTCTGACAAGTTCCCTGACTCGAGCGAGGTTTACACACACGTGACACACGGGGCTGAGACGAGGAAATAGAAAGAAGAGCAGGAATATTGCACTACTCGAAGAAGTTATCTCACATGAAGCGCAAATGAAGCGCACTACGAGGCAAAGCACAACTCTTTTGAACAAACGTACCCACTCACATCTGAAATGAAGACACAGAAAATAAACCTAAGAGCCCAAAATGATCAGAATCCTAACACATGAATTCACTGCCCAACAATGATGTTAACAGAGAGAATACAGCTAAACAAGTGTTAATAACCACACATAAAGTCCATGCTCACGGAGTTATCTTGTTAGAAGATGAGAAAAATATAATATTGTGGCTTTTTTGATTGACATCACTTCACACCTGAATGAACTGAATTTAAAGCTGCAGGACAATTCAGTGAAATTAATTTTTCTAAAATGAATTACTTTATTTTAAGATGCACATTTTTGAAAAGCTTTCTGTTATGTCAGTTATTCTTTATTCCAGCCCTTATTGTACTTGAAATGAGAAGAACATTTATTTATGTATTATTTATAATCCATCCAGTTAAATTTGAAAAGTGAGAATAATAATTTGTTAAAATATAATTGATGTGTACTTTCTTTATTTGATTTGACAGTTGTTTACTACACAGA